TTTCTATTTTTTTTTTAGTAGAGACGGGGTCTCGCTCTTGCTCAGGCTGGTCTCGAACTCCTGACCCCCAGCGATCCTCCTGTCTCAGCCTCCCGAGTAGCTGGGACTACAGGCATGCACCACCATGCCCGGCTAATTTTTTCTGTATATTTTTAGTTGTCCGGCTAATTTCTTTCTATTTTTAGTAGAGATGGGATCTCGCTCTTGCTCAGGCTGGTCTCGAACTCCTGACCTCGAGCGATCCTCCCGCCTGGGCCTCCCAGAGTGCCGGGATGACAGGCGTGAGCCCCCGCGCCCGGCCTGTTTTCTAAGCTTTGACACACAATGCAATTCTGCTGTGGCCCCATAACTCTAGTGTGGTCTTTGCAGGAGCTTGTTAGGAACCCAAACGCCCAGCCCTACCCCGCCAAGGGCTGCTGGAGCAGCATCAGCCCCCCCTCCCCCCCAAGAGTCCCACCCACCTTGCAGTCCCAGAAGGCACAGCTCTAGATCAAGCCTGGTGCCTTTGACCCACAGGTGGAGAAACTGAGGCCCGAGAGGGCACCTGGCAAGGTGTTGTCTGCACAGAGTTCAGGGAGGGGCTCAGTTCTCTGCTCTTCAAGGTCAGCAGGGGAGGGGGCGCAGGGAGAGGAGCAGAGACCACCCCTCACCCTTCTACTCCTCGGACCCCACAGCGATGGGGCTTCGAAACAGGCCCGTGAATCCATTTCTTCCTCCCCTTCGCCCCCAGCCCCTGCCCTGGTAAGAAACGCAGCGATTACCTTTGTACGGATGTCGCTTTTGTGGACGTTTATTCTTCTAGTTGTGTTTGATTCTCTCCAGCAACCTTGTTAATCAGGTGTTGTTACTGTCCCCACGACGCTGGGGGTGGGGGCGGTGACTCACCCCGGGTCGCAAAGCAGGCACGTGGAAGAACAAGACACACAAGCCAAGGTTGCCCAGCTCCATCGCCTGTGTTAGCCGGAAGTTTCTCGGTGGTGAATTAGAGAAATCAGAGTGAAACTGGCCTCCTAAGCAGAAAGGGGAATTTATTTTAAGGGATTTTATAACTGAACTTTATAAAGGGGTTTTTATAACTGAAAAGTCCAAGGGGGCAGGGCTGGCTTCAGGTGTGGCTGGATCCAGGGGCTCGAAGGAGTGCGTCAGTATCTATCTCCGTCTGTCTCTGTCCTCCTCTGTGTTGACTTTCCTCTCAGGTGGGTCCCCAACTGTGGGGTCAGAGTGGTGCAGCTTTGACTCGCTGATTTCCGCAGAAAGACAACGTTTCCTGGTAACGAGAGCAAAAGTCTCAGGGCAGATTCTGATTGGCCAGGCTGAGGTCACATGCACATTCCCTGGCTTCGTGAATGGGTGGAGTCAGCCATATTGAAACCTCATCCACAGAGTACGGCAGCTACAGGCCCCGCCCCTCCCGGGGCTGCTGGTGGCTCTGTCCTGGGACAGCTGGCGTTGGGCTGTAGGACCAGGAGTTTGCTCCTCCAGGCTTGGCCCGGGTCACGCGACAGAGCCTGAGATGAGGGACTGGGCATTGGGTCGTGACCTGCGCAGCCTGCCCCCGGCCACCCCGATGTCCCCTGGGAATCCGAGACTCGGAGCAAGGAGGGCAGCGGCCCAGGCCACACAGCCCTGACGCTGCTAACCGTGGTGGCTGTCGCTCCCCCAGGGCCGGCGGCTGGCGGGATGTTGGTTTGGCCCAACGGGAGCACAGTGTGGCCCCCGCCCCTGGCACCGAACATCAGCGTGCCCCACCGCTGCCTGCTGCTGCTCTACGAGGACATCGGCACGTCCAGGTGAGGCGGTCACAACCCTGCCGGGCAGGTCGCTGATGTCCCCGGCTTCTCCCGGTGCATGCTGGGAGCGGGGCGCTCACGCCACCTCGCCAGCGAGCCAGCTTCTGTCCCCATCCGCTAGGGTCCGCTACTGGGACCTCTTGCTGCTCATCCCCAATGTGCTCTTCTTCCTCTTCCTGCTCTGGAAGCTTCCGTCCGCCCGGGCCAAGATCCGCGTCACCCCCAGCCCCATTTTCATCACCTTCTACATCCTGGTGAGTTCACCCGACCGAGGATAGAAAACTCAACTCCAGCCGCCTTTAAGCCGAGAAAGCGAATTAACTGCCTTATCCTAGAAGGCGGGCTTCAGGCATGGCTGTATCCAGGAGATTAAATGATGTCATTAGGACTCTGTCTCTCTGCAGCTCCGCTCTCTCCTGGCCTTATCTCAGAGGAGTTTTCCCCATGGGGTGGCAAAGGTGGCCAAGAGCTGCTTTGAGCTAACATCCTGCCTGTGCCAACTCCGGAAGAGAGTTCCTCCTTCCTGCTGGTGCCAGTGTAGACCTGGAGTTGGGCCCACCTCGGAGGCTCCAGCTGTGGGCTGTCCAGCTCCCTTCCCTCCAGGGCAGGGTGGGCAGCGGGCAGGCAGAGAGGCATTCGAGGGACCCAAGGAGCCCTGGGGGCTGTTGGTGGAGACCCCGGGGCCACAGGCAGACTGACGTCCCCCCGAGTCCCTGCAAGATGCAGTGAGCTGAATGGAAGCTGAGGCCTCCTTGCCTCCCTGCTTCCCTTCCCCTGCCTGTCTGACTCCTTACCGCGTTTATTCAACAGATATTAAGCACCTACTATGTTCCAGGCAGGCAGAAAGGGGCCCGGGAGCATAGAACAGGGCCCCAGCCCGCTTACTCTAGGGGACTCTGTCCTAAAGACTTCAGCAGGCAGTGGTAAGAGCGGACTCGGGCAGAGTGGCTCTGAATCCCAGCCATGCTGCTGTGTGACCTTGGGCCAGTGGCTTAACCTCTCTGTGCCTCCTATGTATCCACAATGTGTGTCAGATCTGCCTTAGGGGGCGGCGGTATTCCTAGCTCCAGCCTAGCGGCAGCCTGGCATACAGCAGCCACGCGGCACTTTCTTGTGGCTTTTGCAGCTCGCCCCACCCACACAGTTTTCGTGGCACAAAGGACAGAGTCTGTGTGACTCTGGGCTCTTGTTTGGGTCAGAAAACTCAAACTCACGGGGGCCCGAGGAGAGGCGTTGAGTAAGACACTTGAGAAGCCCCCAGGGCTGAAGCCTGCCGTCCCCCACTCCCCGGTCCCCCCCTGTGTCTGCCGGGCGTGACGGAGCGAACCCCCCTGACCCTCCCGTCAATACTCCGCAGTCGCTGCTGTCTTCAGCCCATTTTACAGATGAGGAAACTGAGGTCGGAGCCGGGAAGCAGCGGAGCCGGGGTCTGAACCCAGCCGGCTCCGTGGCCCCCCCCGGGGTTGTCGGTGGCAGCCGGGAGCCCGGGTCCCCGCGAGCCTCACCGCCTGGAGTCACTGCCTCCCTGCCCCGTCCCAGCCCGACCGGCCCCCTCGTCTTTCCGATGTTCAGTCTCAGATCTGGGGCTCCCCCTCCCTCCCTCGCCCGCCAGGTGTTCGTTGTGGCGCTGGTGGGCATCGCCCGGGCTGTCGTGTCCATGACCGTGAATGCTTCCGACGCCGCCACCGTAGCCGATAAGGTGTGGCCCGCCCCGCGGATGTGGGGGTGCGGGGGTGGGAGGCCCAGCTTTGGGGGCGCCCGGCTGACGCCCACCCACTTCTGTGCCCAGATCCTGTGGGAGACCACCCGCTTCTTCCTGCTGGCCATCGAGCTGAGCGTGGTCATCCTGGGCCTTGCCTTCGGTACGCGGGGACCGCGGCCCTGACACCCCCCCTCCCCACCCTTGTCCCCGGTCACCCGGGCCGGCCGCTGCTCACGGGCCCGCCCGTGTCCCCCAGGCCACCTGGAGAGCAAGCGCAGCATCAAGCGGGTCCTGGCCATCACCGCCGTGCTGTCCCTGGCCTACTCGGTCACCCAGGTGAGCAGGCGCACACACGCACGCGGCACGCGGGGGCCGCGGGTGACAGCGGGGGAGGGAGGGGTCAGGGAGGAGGGACATCCGCGTCCTCCGGTCCTGGGCCACGTTTCGCACGGTTACGGGGGTTCGGGCTTCTGCAGCGTCAAGGGCGTCTGAGAAGCCACCTGGGGTGGCCCGTCCGTGTCAGACACTCACAGCCACGCGGCGGACGGGAGGGTCAGACGGGCCAGGGTCAGACGGGACAGGGTTAGACGGGCCAGGGTCACAACCCGCGCAGGCCGGGAGACCACCCTGAGGGGCTGGGGGGGGCAGGGGGTGCTCACCTCGAACCCCACTTGCGGGACTCGGGCCAAGACCAGAGACGGACGTGGCCCGGCCGAGAGGTCGCGCTTGGGGTCACGGAGAGCCAGTGCGGGGGGGGGCTTTGCCGACGAGGCGTCGCTGGGCCTGGGGGTGCCGGTCCCCACCCCCCCCCGCCAAGGCTGACTCTCTGCCCGCTCCGTGTCCCGATCGTGGGGACACGGGGCGGGGCAGGAGCAGCCGTCCAGCGGGCGGGTGGCAGCTTGCGAGACCCTCC